TTCATCGAGAGGATGTAATTGTTTGGAATTATATATCAAAGAACGAGATTCACTATCGAAATTTGGTGGGGTACGGTGCTTGGGCGGTTGGGCGGATGGGCGGATGGGAACTGGATAATAGGGCGGCGCGAATGGTCTCACATGTAGGATGCTTTTTGAAGTGGTTTTGTTGTTTACTGAAATCTATTTAGACCGAGGCCACTGGGTGACGCTTTCTAGATAATAAGTCTAAGTGCTTGACAAAAAGAGATGTTTGTGCGCTTCATATCCCTTTTGGAATAGAGCAGTCACATTCATCCAAGGTCGCAGAAGTTCTAGCTTAGTACCACTCACTTTCTGCAAACTCAACATAAATAGTAGTTGACCAATGGCTTCATTCCAAATCAAACTTACACCACTCAACGTTCACCTCGAAGCAATATGGAACTGGAAATTTACAGGAACTCATTGTGCCATAATGAACAGCGTAATGGATTCTGGTGAGCGCTCTATGAGGAACACTTGACAAGTGCGTATTCAACAACTGACTTGTGATATTATAAATACTAATAATAATTGTCGATAGAAATAATCACTATCGAAAAGAAGAACACAAAGGAATCCTTTGCCCCAATAACGCATTTTACTGCCGGTCACCATTCGCCTTCTATTTCGCCTTCATGCCAACAAGTAATTGCTAACTTCGCCATATCTAAGCATTATTTATGACCAAGTCTTCTCCCTTGCATTTGCCTTGTATCAAAAACACTTCTCTCTTTCCATAGAGATCTTTCTGTACATACGAAGGCATGTCGGTCAGTTTGTACGAGGTTTGATACTTCGATATCATTATAAGAGTCCCTATTTATATGCATTATAGACAGATATTTAGAACTCTTGAGGTGGAGCCAAAGATTGTGTAGTGGAATTTAGGAGTCAATTCAAACATAATGTAGGTATTTGGATCCAAGTAAATGAATGCTCTCATCAATTTAATATGGACGACGAAGAAAACAATGCTGTGCCCAGGTGGACCTTTACGCCCATCACACTGCCTGATCTAATCGTATAGAAGAATTCGATTCCCAGATTTCCCTCCCCGATTATATAAATTATCATCTACCCTCTAATTCATTTGTCAACAATTGGCCCATCCCAACTTTAATCAGATGAGTGATGCTTGCCTACGAGGAGTTCGCTTTGAAAAGCGGTGATCTAAAGTACTATATATTCCCCTCACCTCATATTCTAGAACTGGTATATTTCAATGAGAGATCCTCACTGTTTCAATGTCGATTTTCAAGTCGTATTGTTACTTTTGCATGAGAGATCAGGTGAATAAAGACCATTCTCACCGAAGCTTTTCATCACCAACCCCGTTTTCTTGTTGTCTCTAAAGATTCATTGACTCATTCGATCTATCCACTTAATTTCCCTCTCGGGACTGTCTTCACACTTGAAGTAATAACTCTACGCTTTTCAAACCAACCCGGATACCCCCAAGATGAATTTCCACCTCGCGGCTATCGTTTCTTCAACAAATTTGTGCACATGAGCTAAAGAATGGTACCAACAAAGTTTTTATGGCTAAACGCCGGAAACTGCAGATGTGAGGTGTATAAGTAATTACTCAACATATCCATTTCCCTACTAATGATTAATATTGTAGTAGATGATCGAAATCTGTTTGAGAATTCGCTTAGCATCTCCATGTCCTCATATCACCTCTCCTCACGTTCCTCAATCCACACTATTGTATAAAAATCAGCCAATGTTCACTCTAGAAATATATACAAGTTGTGCAAAATGAATGGACCTCTTTCCAGGTCTGGACACCCTATAGTTGTGGAAGAACGCATACACGCATGAATTGCTTGATGCTTGGAGGGTGGAAAGTGGAAAGAGGAGAAGGGGAAATTAATAGTCTGATGGGTAGGTGAAGTTTGTTGACGGTGAATATTTAGCCCTACCGTTGTCGAAGTATGAAAGTCGAATTTTCAGTAAATAGTCTAGTGGTCTCTAGTTCTCACCATCGAGTATCTCCACTACTACAAATCCACCACTTTCCCCCTCATAACCCTATCCCCAATAACCGTATCCTAAGCCCAACCCTAAAATATCATACGCTCTCAATTCCACAGTCCTATCCCCGAAGTCTTCGAGTTCACGAGACCTCGCATTAGGCATCTGGGGACCAAGCGGATCGATATTGTTATGGATAGAGGACCAGTTTGACGAAAATCTTCATACTTCCCAAACAAGACTTCATTCAAAGTCTGGCATGAGCTGAATGGGGATAGTGAATCAAAGAGATATTGATAATTGAGAATACCTAACATGTGATCATGACACAATGCTTTTCTTAATCTGCTATGGGTCTATGTAACGTAGGTGAATCATCTTCATTACCACTTCCAAGTTCCCACCCCCTCGCCCCCTTACTCCTCCTCCGCATTTCCACCCGCTCCCAACCCTCCCCCAGAGTATTACATTAATCTTTTTCACTTCCATGATACTCTATATATGACCGGGAAAAATTGGATATTTCTGGCACAAAAGCTTCCAAACACTGACGCTGCCATGGAGTTTTCTCACATCTTCAATTCCCTTCAATATCCTATAAAAATATACGTTTCTTGCCCCTGAGATTTGTCTCTCGTCGTATGGCTTGAAAATTCATCACCATTTGGGAGTTTTATTATCGGAGAAGATAAAGATGTATTATCTCTATCATCAATCAACTTATCATTGCCTCTCAATCTCCATCGTCACTACCCACTACCACCATCAGCATCTAATCTGATCTCAAATCACATATAAATATCACCGCTCCCTCCAATTTTTCAAGATCAACAGGAAACTACAAAGTCTATGAGGATGGAGTTCGAGGACTACGTACTATGATTGTCCTCACAATAGTTAACTAAACACACTTACGAATTAGTCGGTAGTTTTGGAGTAAAGATATATGAGGTTTATTTTCTATATAGATGGCAGAAGTGATGATTTGATGCAAATGACAAGAATATAGAATATGTATCTATCACTGTCGGACTATCACATCACCATTTAATCGCCAACAAATAAGAACCTTCACCGCCGCGTTCCCAAGAGTAATTACAGCTGTCATCACATCTCATCATCTAAATATCGTCACAACCAACTCCTCACATTATCATCATCCGTTGAAAGTTTTGGCCGAAACTTATCCCAAATTCAAGCCTCCATTCCCTGACTTATTTCATCGTGCACACCTATGTGTCTCTTTTCATATTCCTCTTCATTCCCATCTCCCTCAGACCCATCCTTTCTATCCTAAGCCCAACTCTCATTCCCCTCTCCCCTCATTCCTCTAAACAAAAATCCCAAGCCTCTTTCCCCCCCTATCCTATCCAAATTCCCAATTTCCAAGAGCTGTTAAAATTCATACTTCCCACCACCAGAGAACACAACCACAGCCACTCTACATTCTTCTATACTCCGTGAATTTAAGTTCCGAAACTATCGAATCTTCGATCACATACTATTTTCAATCTCAATTTCAATTCCCATCAACCTACTAAACCAATCTCTAAGCTTTACCCCATATCTTAACCCCATAGATTCAATCAAATCCGACCCCATCTTTTCCACCTCAATCCCCCGTCACATCACAGAAACACGAAGCCGCTACCTTCCTCATTCTTTTCCAACCCACCCATCATAAAACTTTCCTACAGCACAACCGACCAAACCCCCTTCCCTTTCCATCCCCTTTCCCTCGCCATCTTAACATTCAATTACCCGCATCTTCACCTCTAAAGTGGTCAACAATAAAGGGGGAACAGTTCTGCGAATGAGGATGAGAATATGGACGAGAGTGAGGATGAAGAAAGGTCACATATACACAATAAAGTTGAATACACAATGCCCAATACCCAGATAGTATCTAGAAGCAAAATATATATCACATCTCCCCTCACTGTCCTCCCTTCCCCTTCCCCTTCCCCCTCAAAACCTCCACTCCTCCCCCTTCTCCCCTCCCACAATAAACCCTACACTCCCACAGCAGCAAAATCATAACCAACAGCTTAAACTTGATTCCCAACTATATCCCAATCTCCCAGCTCCCAATCTCACATCTCCAATCCCAAATCCATCAAACCCATTATCCCAGTCCTTCCATCCCACCTCTATCAATCGATCTTCCCCCCCCCCTAAGTAGCCAGGAGACGTAGCACCTTTTCCCCCCTCATTTTCTCTCCCTTTTCTTTCCTTCCCTATCTTATCTTCTATTACCCACTATCTCTCATCTTCAATCACCATCTCCCATCTACCAATCCTCACACATACACCCAAACACCCAAATACACATCCTTCTTCACCTCAAATCTCGAACTCAGATCCCTCCCCCTCTAACCACTCTACTCATTCCATCAATCTTCATACATGTATCTAGATGAGCAGTAACGAGCCATCCACCAGTTTCTTTCATTCCAAAGCTCACGTCCAAGCCCAAGTCCAAGCTCAAGCCAAAGCCAATACAATGAGAAAGAGGAAGAGTGGAATACCAAGTGAGTACTCACTAAACGTAACAGCGAATGCGAAGAAAAAAAGAGAACAAACACAATTACCAACATTTCACCAGCGAAAAACTTCAAACAAACAAACCAAACATCAAAGTAGTGAAGAATTGTATAATATATAAATCCAACCTAGATAGGTAGGTAGGTAGGTGGCTCTAGCTAATCCATCATTTCTGCATGGGCTGATCACAAGATTCTAGCACCACAAATCCCAAGGCACTAAGCACAGATATATCCTCCTCAACAATCGAATTCGAAAAGTCCGCCGCATAGCGCCATCATGTATTTATGTACTGTACGATATGTATGTGTATGCCACGCCCATCAAACGCCCATTTGCCCATTTGCCCATCCATCCAGCTAAAAGCAAATTGATCTTCCATCAGCCCTAAGTATTGATTTCGCACACCGGCTATATTGTAATTGTATTCCTTTCTCTCGGCGAAAAACTTTCAATCAAGATTCAACCTCAACCTTCTTCTTCCTTCCTCCCTTTCCCTTTCCTCTACCTTTTTTCTTTGGTTCACCTGCATCCACTTCCGGCTCTACATCACTCTCACTTCCCTCTTCCTTTTTCGCCGCCGACGCTTTCCTCTTTTTTCCCTCCCCATCCTTCTCCTCCTTCGCCGCCGGCACAACCTCTTGAACCCTCCCTACAATCTCACTCAAAAAATCAAATTGATCATTCTCCTCCACCACTCTCTTCAAACAACCCGCCGTAACTCTCTTTCCTCCCTTTTCCCTCGCGACTTTCGCCGCGCCTTGTACTAACGATATCATGAAAAGTTCCAAGGCTTTCGATACTGCGACCGGAGTAACTTGCGCGACTTTTCCTACTTCCTCATCGGCTTGCATAATGCGTTTTATGCGGGCGACGGGAAACTTCGTGCGGATTTCTATTCCATCCGGGTTTGGATTTTTATTCGAAGGAGGAGCCGCGGGGGGTTGGGGTGCTATGGCGAAAGACATATTGGGTTGGTGTTGAGGCGTGTGAGATTGATTGAAGGGGGCTGTGGTGATAGGTTGAAATTTGACGCGTGATTGACGAGGTTGTCGCGTTGTTTTATCGAGTTGATTTGTGTATGATTCGTGATAGAGAGGATTGTGAGGATTATTGTTGTATTGATATATCTCTACGGGATCGTGACCCAGTGTGAATGGGGATGGGATATGATGATGGTGAGGGGATTGAGAAGACAATGTCGCCTCGGTATTTTCAAATTGATCGATATATTGTGAACATGGTTGTGTGAGTGGTTGTGGTTGTGGTTGTGGTTGTAATAAATGAGAAGAAGAGGAAGAAGAAGATGTAACGATGGGTGAATTGTTATTATTAACAAAATCTGATGTGATTATCTGAGAGTGAGAGGGGTAGTAATATTGTGGAGCCGTGGTTGGAGTTGTCCCAGTAGTCGCAGTAGTGGTTAAAGTTGTTCCTTGACTTCGGAAAGAATGTGTAGGTGGTAATGCGGGAATTGGTGGCATGTACTGATTTGTGCTATTAATAAATGTTTTATAATCTGGAAATTCATTCATTAAATTTCCCGGATTACTGGTGGTGAATCTTGGATGACTTGATTGATTTGATTGATTTAAGTGACTTGGATGATAATTTGGATGTTGTATTGGTTGAGAAGGTCTTGATGTTGTTGTTGTTGATGTTGACGTTGATGTTGATGTAGGTCTAGGTGTAGGAATAGTACCATTACCAAAATGAGGAATTCCCGGTGATCTAGGTGCACATGATGACGGTGGTGATGTTCCCGATGAAGTGATTAATGGATGAGAGGGTTGTTGATGTTGGTTGGAATCAGGTGGTAAGAAACCTGATAAATCGGGCGATTGAGGTGTATAAGTTGAATCCATTTTTTAACCAGGTACCAGTAGTTATTCTTTTCTTAATTTCTCTGTTTCCCTTTTTCTCTTCCTTTTAGTGAATTTTTCCAAAGGAATAACTTTGACGTTAATATATTTTTGGTATAAGTGAGGGTAAACTGAAATAAGAGGTGAAGAAGGTTAGATTATCCGATTTGATGCAAGGCTAACACGGTGGAAGGCTTTGACGTTTGACGTTTGACGTTTGACGAATTGTAAAATGGGATTGAAATCATTGAAAGAATAAATCTTGGTGTCTTCCTCTCGGCTTCCTTAAGAAGAGTTTCCTTTCTCTTTAAGGATTATTGATACGAAGATCTCTTTTTCTGCCAATTTAAATGGTGTCTAGTACGGACTGAACCGAACCGTATGTGGGTTCCTGAAGATTTTAGATGTATATACCTAGGTACACCGTACACCCTATAGACATCGGTATCGGTACTGCAATGTACTGTCCTGTGCTGTATGGAAAGAAATATCTCTTTTTTGTGTAGTGACTCAATTCGAGTCACGAGTACGTACGGTGCGAGGTAGATAGTTTTGGGCCAATCTTCTCTTGAGATTCTTTCTTTAGTGTTATCATGTATCAACCTCTTGATTTGAAGGAAAGGACCTCGAGTCTATATAGAAGGCGAAAAGGATGATGTAGGTGTGTTAGTTCTTCTTTGTTCTTCTGTTCTTCTTTTCTTCTTTCCCTTCTTCTCTTCCTTGTTTTACTAACAGATATTGGACATTAGACCTCTTCATCAAAGACTTTCAAGGCTCTCCTTCATCAACTTGTGATAAGACTTCGAAATTCGTTTATCGGAAAGCGGTGAAATAAGTGAGGCGATAACAGTCAGAGAGGAAGACCGAGGTAGGCTGTAGGTGAAAATAGCTTACAGGAGGAATGAAAAAGTATTCCGTATTCAAATAAATAGATTGATTGGTCGAAAGTAAACAGTTAACTTAGATGAACTCTAAGTAAATTCATGGGTTTCTTCGCAATTTTATTGGTTGATAATTCCGAGAATTCCATAAACCCCCTAACAATGGAAGCGAGCGAGGTAAAGTTTCTTCAATGTGCGATATGCGAGATGTGATGTGCATGGAAATGAATAGCTTTGAGCGGGGTTGAACTGGTCATTTATGTACACAATTTGAAAATGACTAGGATTGGAAATTTGACTAATTGTGAATAGGATTAGCATCTGGTCCCAATCATAACCATCCTCGTGTCAGAATATCATGTGGAAAACGCGGCTCAATTTACTGGTGATCAAAATATTCAGAACTTATAAACCTAGGTATGTATTTCGAACAAGTCAATCTTTCAATATTGATGGATTCTACCCAAGGTGATTGCGACCTTTCTCTCATGCGAACCCTACGAATCTACCAATTTGTATATTCGAGAGGACGAGAAAACGTTCCTGATCACACAACAGTCATCGAGATTTCGAAGCTGACACGAAAAACGCGTCGAGAACTGTGGCTTACTCACAATACCGGAAAACAAACATCGTTATGAGAAACCACCAAGTCTTTTCAAAAGTATTTGCCCAGAATGCATCGGATCAGGTCATCTTTTGTTTCAAAGCTTTTGTTCTCGAAAATGAGTCAGAACTTTGAGTACGTTGTCTTTCACTTATCCATAGGGGCTACCTAGGTTTGTACCAATGTATCTTCAAGCGACGATGCCTCAACCTCAACCATACACTTCCAAATATCCTCAAGATATTGAATGATGATAACAAAGAGCTTACCGGACATCACACCCAAATTCATAACCCAGCTACTCACCTAGCTTGTGGTTTTGACTCGGGTTATTTGTGATTGCATGATGGAATTAACTTGATCTAATCTGACAATATCTTGAACTTGGAATTATGAGTTTGACGATCTGGTCTTTGGTCCATCCTTCAAAGTTGTTGATCACGGGAGAATGGCATTAGTAGTTGACCTCTATACTTGATGGTTTCAGTAGTTTTGGTTGATCTCCATTGATGGAGTAGCCTTTTTGATTCCACCAAGTATTACCCAGTATCTTTCACGGGGATATTCTTTTTCTTTCTTCAATTCTTCCACCATTCTATTGATTCATGTTTCTTTCCCTTCAATTCAATGCAAACAATCGACTCGAAACAATCAAAGAGTTATCTTGAAACTCCCCCCGTGATGTTTGCTTCATCTCATCCGATATTCTTCCGTACTTTATTGTTTTTGTTGCAGATCGTATTTTTCGCCGAGCCTCTAAATGACACGGGATTGGATATAAACCGATTGAAGTTTTCAAAAGGTTCTAGACCATGAATAAGACTTTAGATTTAGAAAATCGTGAGTCGCTTTGAAGTTTCTCGAGAAATCACATACTGTTGAAATAACCGGACCACTCAAAGTCTTAGTATTTTCTTCTCAGTCTGAGGGAGGATTCAGAAATAGGCCGAGGTCTGTATTGTTCGGTAAGTTTAGTGACATGATCTAATTCAGGTTTTGATTTAAGCCTTCGACATCACACCTGGCGATTTAGTTTGAAAAATCATTGTTTGTTGCACATCTAATGAGTGAGGGAAGTACTAAAATCTAGAGACTTTTCCCTCTCACAACTACCTAGAATTTTCTCTTTCTTTTCACCACGTGATTCGTCTAGTCAATTGAAATTCGGACATCCATATTGTTATGGTTGGTTCATTTATTACCTAGTGTCAAATGAGTGTTAAACCAATTGTAGTAATTGGGTACAATATTAATAAAACGACTTGAATAATTATCACATGAAGACTATAATAATCATACCTCGGTGCAGGAGCGGAATATCTCAGCGGGGGCGGAAATTCTCTTGACACATTTATTTGTACCTAGACAGGTAAGCTAAGCCTAACCACCACCACCACCCACACACACACACACCCACCAGCACACCACACCACACCCTTCCATCCATCCATCCATCCATCCCAATAAAAACAACACACGCATCCCGCAATGAAATTAAAAAAGCAACACAAACTGCCACGTATCCACAACCCAACCGCCACGCTGAAAAACCACACATGCAAATTGGTACTTGTAATAGGTGTTGAGTGTGTAGATGGGGTTTAGACCTTGCACACCGCTTCGTAGGTGGGAATTCCTCTACACCCTCAGGAATTTGAGATGTGCAACAAATGTTGGTGATGAAGGAGGGAGGGTCTGTGGGTTTGGTTTAAGGGAGGGGAGGAGTGGATAGGGTGAGGGGGAGGGGGAGGGGAATAGGTAGGGAGTTGATGGATGAGGTGCATGTATGTATGTATGTATGTATGTATGTATACATGTTTGTCGAGGTGTTCTGAATTTTATTCATTGATCTATGTATATATAAATAGATGCATATTTTATTTCCCTTTTTTAGACGTCCTCGATTTGTGAACCCTTATTTACCGTTATTCATCCTTATTTATCCTCATTTATAAATCAGTACACCAGTACCTAAATAATTATCATTATTCTTCATTATTATCACACCAAATAATCAAATATTCAAACAAACTATCAAACTATCAATCTATCAATCTATCAATCTATCAAACTATCAAACTATCAATCTATCAATCTATCAATCTATCAATCTATTAATCTATCTCACCCCATCACCCACAGAACATTCCACAATTCCACGAATTCGTGGTTCCATAATTCCAAGTCCCAAGCTGAAAAGCCACAACCATGAATTTTCTCGGCTCACCTCACACCCCTCCTCAATGGTCGCGGTAAAAATCACGGCTTGAGATTTGCGGATTTCCAAGGTTGTGGTACGTTACATTATATTGGATTGGATTGGATTATCTGGTCTGGGTGTGCGCTCGCTTTTATTGGTATTTTTTGAAGTCTTGGGATTTTTGAGATTTTTGAATCCGAGGGGGAGGTAGGTGAGCGGATGGTAGGATGGAGATTGTGTTTTTGTTAAGAAAGTTGTCTTGCGATTTTGTATAGATTTGTTTTTGGCTTATTAGATTATTGGATTTATATGTTTAGATTTGGAGCGAGGAACTGAGGGGGGGGGGGGGGGTTAGATCTATTATATACCTAGATAAAGATATAATTCAGAAGTGAAAATACACGCATCGTGGAAATGAACTGACTTGAATACCCAAGTACCTAGGAGTAAGAACATCTCTTGATAATCATGAGTATATCAAGTAGGTACGTGGCTACCTAGATATATATACAGAATTCTCTCCTCTCCTTACACTACTCATAAATTATACAGACATCACTCCATATTGCACATCTGAAATTATTGAGTCTTCGAGAACTACGGCATGTACATCATATATATTATAAATTATCTCGGGATACGACTCGAGGTAGACAAATATCACAACATAGTAAATTCAATCATCTCACTCACCAATCATCAACTCATGACACTAAATCGAACTATTGCACATCTTCATGCACGTACCCGGCCATGTATGGTGCGCAATGCGCATAGAAGCGAATTGTGCATTGGTACCTAGTATTATTTCTTGCATTGCATTTGCCCTCACAAATGATAGATGTAAAACTGATATGGAAGAAAGAAAGCAATTGTTGCATATCTGGATATAGGAATGATCTCCTCTTGTAGTACACGCTTTTCTATTCTGTGGATGTAACTCCGATATGAGAGGAATTGTTGCATATCTGGATATAGGAATGATCTCCTATTGTAGTATACGCTTTCCCATTCTACCATTTCCATCAAATGCATCATGTATATTAATATCCAGCACTACTCTAACCCCTCGACTTTCTCATACAACCCTGACATCCCCCAAAACTCACTACCTACCCATCCATCCCACCTCGCCGTACAATCCCTCACGAAACAGTCACACAAACTCAGCCCCCAAGAAGAAAAACAAATCAACAATTGGATTGGTGCAGAATCCACAAAACAAAATCCCAAACCCCCTTTGTTGCACATCTTCATGCATGAATATATCATAAAATGCAGGTTTGTGGCGCGGCGCGACGGGTCAGAAAAGGAG